TTTCTTCTTCCTCCTCCTCCTCCTCCTCCTCCTCCTCCTCCTCCCCCTTTTCCTCCTTTCCCCCCCACCCTCTTCTCTTTTCCTCCCCTTCTTCCTCTCATTCTCCTCTCTTCCCACATTCTTAGCTTCTTCTCTCCCTCTTCTTCTCTTTCTCCTCTTCCTCCCTTCCTACTCATCCCTCTCTTCTTTTCACCTCTTTTTTCTTATGCTTCCTCTCATTCTTCTCTTCCTCTTCTCTTCTTCCCTTCTTCTCTTCCTTTTCTTCCCTCCATCCTTCACCTCTCCCTCTTCTTCCCCTTCTCTTCTTCCTCTCCTCTCCATCCTTTCCTCCTTTTCTTCCCCCCATCTTATCCCACGTGGCTTGACCTTTTTCTCCTCCTCCCTTCCCTCTCATTCTCATCTTTTTTTAACCTCTTCTTTTTCCTCCCTTTCTTCCTCTCGTTCTTCTCTTCCTTTTCTTCTTCTCTTGATCTTGTTCCCTCCATCCTTCACCTCTCCCACCTCCTCTTCTTTCTCCTTTCCTTCTCTCCTTCTCCTCTTCCTCTCCTCCCTCGTTCCCCTTTTCTTCTCCTCTCCTTCCTCTTCTCTTCTTCTTCTTCCCCCTCCCCGTCCCATCTTCTCCCACATGACTTGATCATTCTATCCTTTTCCTCTTCCTCCTTTCCTTCTTCTCTATTCTCTCCTTCCTCCTCACCATTTCTCCTTTTCACTCCTTCTCAAGCTCCCCTCCTTCTCCTCTCTATCCTTTCCTTCTCCCCTCCTCTCCCTGTTCTCCTTCTCTTCTTCCTCTCATCTTCTCCCACGTAGCTCGATCATTCTCTTCTCCTCTTCCTCCTTCCAGTCCTTCCAAGTGCAGCTTTTGGCTCCCAGCGGCTCTACCGTCCCAAGCCACGGAGGGCCCCCCATCACCCAAGTCATCCGAGTGTTGAACCCCAAACAGGTAAGAACCAGGAGAGAATCTGACGTCAACTTGCCAAATCCTAGCGTTCACATCCGGCAAAGTCCCGGCAAACAGTCTTTCAAGGGTGAATTTACAAACACTGACCTTATCAGGTTTGGTGAGCTGCCAGGCCGATATCTTCCAAATGCCACACTGTACAAGAAAATACTTGGCAAGGAATCTCGGGGAGTCACAAACNAAAAAAATCGGTTTCTAATCTCCCCAAATAGCATTTCCTGTGCTTCGCCTCTCCTTCCTCCCTGTTTCAGGAACAGGCTGTTTTTCATTTAATGACAACTTTGCTTTCCTTTCTCCACCTGAAGACGCTTCCCTCCCTCCATTTGATGCTCAGGATCAAGGCTGGCGGGGCAGAAATGCAGCGGCCGAACAATTGTGGCCCTTCCCCACGTCGCCAGAGGTGGTATTCAGCCGGTTCGGACTGGTTTGGGTGAACTGGTAGCGGAAATTTTGAGTCGTTCGGAGAACCGGCAAATACCTCTGGCTGGCCGCGCCCTCCTACCCCCCCCCCTCTGTTGTTCTTTCCTATATTCCCGGTTTTTAGCTCAGCTGATTCGTTCAGCAAAGCACATTGCCCCGCCTCCTGACCAGCGCTGATACCGGTAGGGAAAGATTTGGAATCCCACCACTGCACGTCACGGTTAGTGGAGGATTTGAACCCAGCCCTCTGAAAGAGGGGGGGGGGCTGGCTTTGCCTTGCCATGATTTCAGGAGAAAATCGCCCTTTGAGCTGCGTTTAGGCCAGTAAGTACTCGACGTACAACCGCAATCGAGCTCAAGACCTCTGTGGCTAAGCAAGAGAGTTATAAGAGAATTATTTGGACCCATTTTACAACCTTTCTTGCCAGTTGTTAAGCGAATCGCGGCGGTGGATAAGTGAGTCACACGGTTGTTAAGCGATTCTGGCTTTCCCCATTGAATTGGCTCGCCTGGAGGTTGCAAAAAGGGATCACGTGACCCTCAGGACACTGCAACCGTCGTAAATGCGAGTCAGCGGCTGAATTTTGATCATGTGATGTTGCAAGTGTGAAAAGCGGTCCGAAGTCACTATTCAGGGCTGTTGTCACTTCGAACAGTCACGAAACGAATGGTGGTTAAGTCTACCTTGTACAAGTGAATGAAGCACAAACTATGGTTTGTCAGCTATATCTCTCCTAATGCAGGTCAGGGGGAAACCGTAACTTTCCTGGCTTTTAGATCTGGGCTAGCAAATCCCCAGGATCTTAAAGCAAAGGAATTCCTCGCCTTCACTGCTGCCATCTAGTGTTCCTGGGGATGTTTGCAACTGGCACCTTTGCTTCCATTGCCCGCATGTGGTTTCGTTGCATGGCAATTCTGCACCTGGCACCTTCATGGGCAATGCATGCTCGTGGCTCACCGCAGGGCTTCGTTTTATTTATTTATTTATTAGACTTCTATACCACTTCATAGGGCTTTCAGCCCTCTCTAAGCNCCCCACACCCACAAGTCCATCACCTGGCCAAATCTTCCTGGCAGTTCCACCCATCCTGTTCTGGTCAGGTGCAGAGGTGCAGAGACAAAGGATGACCTTTGCTTTCTAGAAAGAATGTTGTTATGGCTACATAGCATCTAACTCTGTACAATCCCCCCCATCCATTTTCCCACAATAGAAAACGCATAGTAGAATAACAGAAAGGGTGGTAGGCCAAAGACCCAAAAGAAAAGATGGCTACAGGCCTGACACAAACCCACAACTGAAAATTAACCTTACCTAGCTGCCTGCAAAACTTCTGAATCTTCTCCAAAGCCCCAGGGATGTCCTCTAACCGTTGGACCATAGTTTCCACCTCGCCCACGGCGTAGCCGAAATCCGCCTCGTCGAGATCCACGTGCAAATCCCCCACCCGGTATTTGTGCCGCGTGGTCACAAAACTAGCAAACATCTCCAAGCCCAGTTCTTCTACTGCTTTGTTCACACAACACCTCCAGTTCTGTCCAGGGTCTCTGCCCAATAAACCACAGAGGCGGGTCACGATATCTCGGGGACACGTCACTTCTCGGTACGGGGTGGCCATGTGAGATGATCTCGGGTCCCTCGGTGGTCGCCAAATTGGAGCGGACGAATGGTTATCCGTCTCTGCTGCACACGGGCTCTCCTTGCTTCCCACCGCCCCAAGAACCGGGGGACATTTCAACTCCCAGCCCACCCCCTCGCGTTCCCGCAGCCAGTGATCCTCCCGCGTCAAGCGCCAATCGGGGACGTCGTAGTAGCTGTCGCGAAAAGAGATGCGGCTTTCCAGGATGGCCCCCAGCTCGGCTAACTTCTCGATGGTGCTAGGCCCGAAAAGAAACTTCCGTTCCACTTCGATGGCTCCGGACATCTGCCCTGGGGCATAAACACACACACACACAAAAAGAATCCAAAACTGAAAAAAAGAATCCTCGCGATTTTCCCGCCACAAAGTGGATTCTGCTCTTTGTGAATTGCTCAGCTCGAATGTCCGGAACCAAACGTCATTTCTAATGTTGGGTTTTCCCCTCTTACCAGAGCGAGCCCCCTTGTGGAGTACTGTGAAGCCGTTACCATGGCAATTCCACTGCGCTGCACAGTAGAAGCCATTTTACGGCAGTACAGTAGGAGCCATTNGATAGATAGATAGATAGATAGATAGATAGATAGATAGATAGATAGATAGATAGATAGATAGATAGATATAGTGTGCAAACAGAAGGAGTGGTGCGGCGGCCTAGCAGTTCAACTCTCGCCTCACAATCAGAAGGTTGAGAGTTCAATCCTAAGGAAATATTTCTCTGTCTCTGAGAGAGAATTGAGAATTTATCTGCTGAACAAAACTCTGCATTGGCGTCAGGGAAGGGCATCCGGCCATTAAAACATTAAAACACTGCTCCATTCAGTTGCCCAGACTCCACCCCACTAAAGGATTATGGGGTCGTTAAGTTAAGAGCAAGCCCTACTTTGCAGTCATGGGAATGGATACATCGGCAGGACCCAAAATGCAATAACACAACCGGGGGGGGGGGCGAGGGGGGAGGAGACTCGGCTATCGTAAGTTCAAATCTGGGCATAAATTACCCAGTTTGTCATAATTTCAACTGGCCACTAACCAATTGGTCATAAATTGAGGACTGCCTGTACAATATATTGCTTTGCGTTTCACTGGAATGTGTGTAAACTCTCCAAGGATTTGATTAATGTGAAGATTGTGACGTTTATATCTCGTTTCTTGTTTCTTGAACCCAGATCCCTCTTCGGATGAGGCTACGCATTTCCTACACACTGCCTTCCGGAGCTGTTGTGCAACACGTCGAAGAACTCAACTCGTTCCCGGAGACTGCGTGGAAGTGAATAGTAGCTTACTCAAGGAGTAAAGAACTCCTGGAGTAACAGCTGGCGGTATTTGTGTTCCCTTTAATTGTGTGCTGGAATAAACATGTGTTGTTACCCCAGAAAACTGTTTTCGCCACAAACGCACACGAGATTTACAAAAGGCTTTCCAGGCAAGGAGTCCTCGACATATGGCCATTCATTTACTGACCGCTCAAAGTTACGACGGCACGGGGGGAAAGGGACCGTTTTCCACAATGACGATCTTTCCAGCATTCTCACGTCACGCGATCAAAATTCAGATGCTTAGCAACTGATTCAGACTTACGTCGCAGTGATCCGCTTTTGCGACCTTCTGACAAGCGACGTTCACGGGGAAGCCCGATTCCTTTGACAACTGTTTTAGTAACTTATCCACCGCGATTTATTTAACAACTGAGGCCAAAAAGATGGTACAATGGGGGTGGGGGACTCACTAAACCAATGTTTCACTTAACAACAGAAATTTTGTGGTCGTAAGTTAAGGACTATCTGTATTTTGAATCCCTGTACAAAGCGCAATACAGTTTTTATACAGGCAGCCCTCGACTTACGACAATTGAGTCCACAATTTCTGTTGCTAACCGAGACACCCACTTAACAAGTGTCTCGCTTAGCAGCGGAAAAGTTGGGCTGTAACGGTCGCAATTCGAGGACTACTATATAAAGATATTAGGGGAGGGGTTTTTTTTAGGCTGGATGGCCCAGTGGTTGAGTAAAGATAGGAGGGGCCATGTACAACTAGTCCTCAACTTACAACCACAATTGAGCCCAAAACTTGTCGTTAAGCGAAGCATTTTTTTTCAATGAAATTTGTCCCATTTTACGACCTTTCTGGCCTCAGTTGCTAAGTGAATCAGTGCACTTGGTAACTTAGTAACCCGGTTGTTAAGTGAATCTGCCTTCCCCACCGTCGGAAGGCCGTGACTCAGTAACCTGCTACCTAGAATGGCCAGGAATGTTTAAAAAAAAGCAAAAGGAATCCGAAATATTGGTTCAAGACGTGAGTCCCTTTTTTCGGTGCCGCTGTAACTTCGGTCACTGTGAACTGTCGTAAATCGAGGACTACCCGCATGAAGAAGCTCAAATGTAAAAGCTGACGGGCCTTGATTGTAGACTGTTCCCAAAAGCAAAAGGAATCCAGAATATTGGTTCGAGTGAAGTCACTTTTTGGGATGCCGTTGTAACTTCGGTCACTAAACGAACCGTCGTAGGTCGAGGACGACCGATAAGAATGTCCTTTCGAAGCAGGGCTTCCCAAAGAGCGGGCGGCACCAGATCGTGGCGGAGCGTTTTCCCGTGCACGAGGTGTAAATAGGGGAATCCCGATGGCTCGGCGTCGGTGGCTTTTCATCTCTCTCCACACTGCAACTGCTAGTAAATCAATTGAATTGATCAGCCGGACGGGGAAACTCCACAACAAGCGAGCGAGACTAAGTGGAAATCAATGGCGGTAAACGAGGGAAAGGAAGATGCAGGTTGTCGAATCGACGCAGCGGCCACGCGCTCGGATTTTCTCCCTTTTGAAGGGTCAATTGAGAGCAGGGGCGTCAAACGCTAGGCACGCGAGCCGGATCCGATCTGGCCCAGGAGGCTATCCTGGAAAATCTAAAGGGGCAGCCCGCCTCGCTTCAGCCTGGGGTAGCCATGTCACTTCGGCCCGGTCTACCCAATGCGAAGGGAGAAGCGTGGTGTCAAGCTGGCCACGCCCACCCAGTCAGCCACACCCTCCATCCACCATCGGCCACACCCACCCAGGCCCGCCGAGCTCAACCACAGCCCTGATGCAGCCCGCGGAGCTGGCAGCAGATTTGGACAGTGAGGAGCTTGAGGGAAGAACCTGGGCCGGTCCTGGAGTCTGGGGAAGGCTCGGACGAGGGCTCTGTGTCGGAAGCAGAGAGGCGGCTAGAGCAATCTGACAGTTATTATCTGCCTTCAGAGCAGTGTTGAGTTCCGGTACGCTACAACGGGGCCCGGGCATCCACCCCATGCACGCATTCGCACCCACTGCCCACAAAGCTCCAGCTGCTTGGCGGAGGATCGCACAGGCGCCGTACACTGCGTGGGTTCCACCACAAAACCGCGTTCGACGAAACCGCGCTCGACGAAACCGCGTAGCTGACGTCATCAACAGCGCGACAACAGCGCGGAGACAGAAGCACGCTGTAAATGCTAAACCTAAAATTAACCCCTAAACCTAACCCTAACCCTAACCCTTAACCTAACCCTAACCCTTAA